TGATTCAATTCTTCTAATTTCCGTTTCTTTGGATTATTTTTCCGCAAATTGTTAACCATCATCAACGAATTTGATGTCGTCTTCGATAGGAAAAAACTTATCATTTTTCGATCTATTTTGGTCATTACAGCCTAAACATTTAGTGAAAGGCATTGTCTTATTGAAGAATCAACGATCGTCAAGATATGAAAAAATATACCTGAAGAGACAAGAGAATGTAGAAAAAATTAAGATGAAACAAGAGAAAAGTATAGATATAGCGAGAAACCATAGATATATATAAAAATAGACCGAGCGCTTATATGACACAAGTGAAAGTATCGTACAAACAAAAAAATGGAAAACAAACAAGCAAGAATAGAATAGAATACATTAGAATAGTATGTAGATAGATTCTTGGAATATACTTCATGTGATAGTACAGTATTTCAACTGCGAGAGAACTTGTCAATGCATCATGTAGCAAGACTCTATCTTTCAGGGTATCTTTATAAAGCACGCCTCCCCCCCTCTCTCTTCCATAAATGAAATAGCGGTGAATAGTAAATCGTTCATTCTCTAAACAATGAATCCATTCGATAGAATCTATCCTCAATATTACATGAACTTCAGCCACGTATTTTTTCTTATGCGATATACCCTGACTGGAAATCATCACTTTCATCCCCTTGTATCTCCGGAATCGTGCCTATGCTCATCTTGAAATTTTACTGAGATTAATGTTTCATCTCATAGTACTATTTGGCATGAAAAAAAGTTCGAAATTCGAGGTTCAAAAAATGGGCTAAATTTGCCATCACTCTTTCGCAAAAAACTTTGCGCTGCTATAAAATAGCCTTAAAATATTATTATACATCTTAAAATATTATAGAGCAATGAAAATGGGCAATAATTTTACAATTTACATGATTAAGTGTTATAATGACTCAAGTTGACCAGAGCGGCAAACGGCGACGCGATAGCCAATTAAACTCTTGTTCTTACGGTAAAATTGTAAGTTGATTGGCTATAACGTCGCCGCTCGTCGCTCCGTTACTCTAGTCTGTTTGAGCCGAAATTTTAAGGCTATTTTATAGCAGCGCCAAGTTTTTTGCGAAATTTTGTAATATTTTTTTATTTTGATTAAGTTTGAAAAATTTTTTTATTTAACTAAATACAGATATAAAAAAAATAACTAGATACAAATGCAATTATTTTAAAAAATATACTTAAGAAAAATTAACTAGATATAAACATAAATATCATTTTTAAATAAATAACTAGATATACATGCAACTTTTTTTGAAAGGTTTTTTATTTAAACTTGGCGTCATTTTCTGATATCACCTCTTTTATAGGCAGAATATGTAGCGAATTTTTATTTGGTATATACAACTTTTTTGTAAAGTACAATTTTTTGGAAAGATTTTTTATAATACAGGGTGATTCAGAACAATCCAGGTGTCCTTGCATAGACGTATTCCTGAGTTAATTCTGAGACGATTTTTCCTTTACAAAAATTTTGTCCGCAACTTATTTTTCAAGTTATAAAAGAAAAAGTTATCAAATCACGGGACGAATACAGAAGATAGGCAGGAGCGGCGCAACTCCATTCGACACATCGATTTATAAATCATTCATTTACGTGAATAAATTCGATACGTAATACGAAAAAAAATGTATGTCTTATAAATCTCGGTATGGATTTGTTGCATGTCAAGTGCTGTGTGAATTTTTATTGCTTATCCCCGGTAAAATTATTCATCCGTCAAACAGAATAAAGACGTCGAATTTGTAAAAGGTAAGTGAGTGAGCAAGCGAGAGAGAGAAAGAAAGAGAAAGAGAGAGAGTTGTGTGTGTGTGCGCGCGCGCGCGCGCGCGTGTGTGTGTGTGTGTGTGGCGCGTGTTTCATCACGTGTGTTTGATCGCAACGTGCGTCCCGTAATCACCCGTGTCGAATGGAGTTGCGCCGCTCCTGTCTATCTTCTGTATTCATCCCGTGATTTGATAACTTTTTTCTTTTATAACTTGAAAAATAAGCTGCGAACAAAATTTTTGTAAAGGAAAAATCGTCTCAGAATTAACTCAGAAATACGTCTGTGCAAGGACACCTGGGTTGTTCTGAATTACCCTGTATATACAATTTAAAAAAAAATTTTTTATAATATATTTTGAAAATACAATCTTTTTGGAAAGTTTTTTATAATATATACAACTTTTTTTGACAAGGTTTTTTGTGAGGAAAACTTTTTATAGAATATCCCGAGTAGAAAATGGTTACGGTTTGCCTGAATTTTATTCCGGGCGCTATCAGGTAATTTTCCGGCATGCCTTATTGTGGAAAGCCTGATCCGGCTCTGTCAACGCCGGATAATGGCTGCTCTATTAGCGCCAAATTCAGGCAATCCTAACAGTGCCCTGATCAGGTTTTCTCTAAAATTCTTTATCGAATGTGCGCATGATCATTTTATGAATCTAACCTAACCTAACCATTATATGATGGTTAAGCTAGTTGACATCAAGAGTTTAATAAACAGTTTAATTTACAGTTACGTTACAATATCGTGTAGTGCGTATCGTGTATATTGTGTTTGAAATAAAGTAATAATTATACAGAATGGATCATACAGAAAGAAATCGGAAATTAACACGAATGCGTGTTAAAAGATTTCGTGCAATTCGGAAACAAGATACGTACATATACTATATTATTATTTGTAGATAAAGTTACTATTTTTTTATAAACGTTCTGAAGCTGTAAACTTGTTCTCAAATCTAGAAACATATATTCGAATATTTTGAATCCGTTTTATTGGATCTGAATGTAAATTATAATAGTTTAATTGAGAAACAGTTTAGGTTAACCGCAAAGATCAATTTAAAAGGATTATTCATACAAAAATTGATTTTAGATGAAAATTATTCAATATCAAAACCATTGACATCTACGGTTAGTAAAAACGCTGTTTATTGATGGAAAATTTTGATACAAATAAAAGCTTTGATAAAAGTCAAGAGAACTGTCAGATGCCTTATATAAGTGGAAGTGCTAATGAAGAAAATATAAATAAAATTGACAGCAGCGTTGGGTAAGTTAATATATATATATATATATATTTTTATTTTTCAGCTTTTTTCATTCTACGTGTGTTAAAGATGGCACTTATGTGTTATATCTTATAAAAGCTCGTTTTAATACTGGTAGATAATCTTTTATATTAT